GCTTCAGGACTCTTGACATGCCTTCTCTCTGTCTAAGGCCCGCTCTCCATCTACCCTTCTCCACTGAGTTCCATCAGCCCTTCAGATTTCCTGTTTGTCTCTGCAGAGGAACTGCCCATCCACACCGGACGGCTCCTCCCACACCTCGGTCCCACAACGAACAGAATGAAATTACCCTGCGGAGGAGGAGGAGGAGGAGCTGTTTTCTTGTTCACAGCCATGTCGTTGCCCTGGCTGGTCCTCCTGCTGAACCCTCTTCCCACCCTGTCGGCCTTCACCGTACCTACCTGCCTTCAAAGGGTTCAGGGATTCGGACCTGGTGAAAACTTTGCCAGACCTTTCCCCACCCCCTCTCTCCTTTCCTCTGGGTTTGAATGGATGAATCATTTCTCTTTGTGTTTCCTTAACATCTCACCCATGCCTCCATCATGGCACTTTCAAACTACTGTAGGAACTTGTTTTCGGCCCCATCTTCTAACTGGGCAGTAACAGGGTCTGTGTGGGCTCCTCTGTCTTCCTCCAACCCCTGTGGAGGGAGCCCTGTGTCTACACTTCGTCTTTTCCCAGGTGCTGAGTTTTGTTTGTTTGCTTTCTGTAATTTGTTCTTGAGGAACAGTAGTGTGCATGGGGCTCGGACCCCTGAAAAGTGCTAACACGAACATGTGCTAAAGAACGTAAGCACTATGCAGGGGGTTCCCTGCCCTTGCAGAAGGGAGGTACATTAAGAATTGTAAGGGAGGTACGGTCATATCGAATGCTATGGCCAATGCAATTAAACCTTTGTCAAACTGCCTGCCTTGGGCTCCGGATGAGAACATTGTTGAAACGCCTCCCAACTCAGGGCTAGGAGCTGCTGAAATGGGCAATTACTGCAGCGAACAATCCATTACTTGTACTGTCAACAGTGTTTCTCTCCCTCTAAATGCAGAACGAAGTGGGAAATGCTGTGGGAACCTTGTGGCATTTAATGTACTGATATGCCTTGGTAGGGGCCATTCTTTAGCCTGGCCGCGACAGCCACACAATGGCACAGGGACAAGCATTAGGTTAGAGCACTGGGGGAGCCACTTAGCCATCCCATGTCTCACTCTCCTCACATGTAAAATTAAACCCATAGAAGAGAATGCTTGTCACACCATCGCGGTTGCTATGGTGATGGACCGTGCACAATGTTGCGCTGCCCCGAGCCAAACCAATTCCTTTTGATACTGCTTGTCATTGCACGTAAGAGTAATGACTGGCAGGGCTTCATTTTCCTTTTGAATTGGGAGAGCTTCTAGTGAGGCTCGGTGTGGAGAGGCCATTATTCTGGCGACTTGGTGCAGATAACCCATGACTGCTGTGCCAACAGGGCCGCTCAGCTTAGACACACTTCTGACATGCTGGCTGGGCTGAATGGATGGTGAGATATTTATAACCAGAAGAATGGTAGCACCCTCTAGGTCAGCATTTTCAAGTTCAACATCTTGGAATGCTGCTGATGAGTCTGGAAACTAGCTGAAAATCATTAGCCAGACATAACAGCTGTTCCTCGAACTTGAGGGTACCAAGGGCCAGCAGCCTAACGCCTCACACATTAGTACAAGCGTGGCTGGTTTGAGGGACAGGGAAGGGGATGAGGGGTCTGGGAGAAGGTGAGATGGCTCCAGAGCACTTGTGATGTACACGGCCATGCTTTCAGGTCGCCACAGGCTAAGGTTGCAAAATATAGACTGGAATTTTGGCTAATATAAGCAAACACAGATATTCATGAAAGACAGAGTCCAGATTCTGTCAGAGGTTTCTCTGGGTCACTGGAGGTGGGCTTAGGGGCTTCCCAACAGAGTAGTGTCTAGAAAACCTTTCCTGGTGCCAGCTCTAATTCTTTTAGACATGGATATTGTGGTGGTTTGAAAGAAAATGGCCCCAAAGGGAGTGGTACTATTAGGAGGTGTGGCTTTGCTGGAGGAAATGTGTCACTGTGGAGGTGGGCTTTGAGGTCTCATATATGCTCAAGCCACATCCAGTATCTCAGTTCACTTCCTGTTGCCTGCCAATCAAGATGTAGGACTCTCAGCTCCAGCACCATGTCTGTCTGCATGCCACCGTGTCCCACCATGATGATAATGGACTAACCCTCTGAAAATGTTTTCCTTTATAAGAGTTGCTGTGGTCATGGTGTCTCTTCACAGCCATAGAAAGCCTAACTAAAACAGACACCGTCATAAAATTCACAAGAACTTCACTCTGGACTCACTGATGATGTTGGATAGCAGGTATCCGAGTCCATCCTTTCTCACCGATGGTGTTAGACATGGGGCACCAGAGTCTACCCTGTACCCACTGAAGATAATAGGCACCACTGATGATGCACCAGAGTTCTGTCCAGTTGTCCCTTAAAAACTGAATATTTCAATCATTCCTTTCACTCCCAAAGGGGATCTACATGGCTCCTTATGCTTTCCTTTCCCAGGGAAAGCATGTACAGGACTATGTATGCCCAGACCCCGATCTGGGAATACAAGTACATGTATCCCCAGAGGGTCAGGTGCCTCTTCCCTACTAACAGAAACATGGGCGTGTGAAGCTGCCTTCTCCCCTGTGTGCAGGATGTTTGTGGAACAGAAAGAGACAGGGAGAGAGTGAGAGAGACAGATATCACTCTCACATTGGAATATTGTTCCAAGGCAGCTAGAGCACCCAGGCTTCACCATACCCACTGTATCTCTCAAAGCTGTGTGTGTGAACCTGGCTTACCATCTTCCCATAAGCTACTTCCTCTGGGCTGGGCATGAGACTGTCATACTCCCAAGTTTCAGAATCTGGACTCTGGACTTGGTTCCTTCAGACCCCCGAGTCCATCCCCTGAGTCCTGTCTCAGCCAGAACTACCGTGCCCCTGAGTTGCTCGTTGCCCTCTGCCCGTGCTGTGGGATCAGACCCCTTGAAGCTGCCCCCCATCTCTGGTTGGCTCCTGTTTTATGCCCAGGCTGCACACCCAGTCTCTTCCTTGTGCCATGGTGGCCTTGATAAAATGTTATACCCTGGTTTAAGGTCCCTCAGAGCACCTGCACAGCCTTCAAATCCCACACTTCTTAGAATCTTTAGTGATGATCCTGTTGCCCTGTTCCTTCGCATGTGTTAGACATTCTGATCTTCTACAGAATAGCTAAGAGTTGTTGAGTACATATTAATAGCATCCACACACAATCATCCTGGGCAGAGAGCACGCCCTATCTTCCCATTTTACAGGAGGAGAAGTTGAGGCCCTAGCAATGTTGGCAGCCCCAGCATTTGGATGCAGGCCTGTCTGCTGCTCAAGCTCCTGCCTTCAACCAGGCTGTTGTATACTCTACCTGTACAGAACTGCAGTTGTCTTCTATTAGAAGGGGCTATCTCAAGATCCCCTTTGTTTACCCTAAACCACACAGTTAGTACTAAACTTTATATACTATGTTTTTTCTATGCATACATGCTTATGGTATGCTTTAACCTATAAAAGTAGGCATATTGTGGGATCAACAATAGTAACTAGTAATAAAATACAACAGTTATTACACCTACTGTAGTAGGTTATGTGAATATGGTTCTCTGTCTATCTCCCTACCCCTCTCATTACACTATGCTTACCCTGCTTGTTGACCATGGGCATCTGTAACCACATGAAAGGGAAGAAAATGGTTCTTACAGGCAGTTGCACGAGGACACTATCTCCCACAGCTCCCCACTTCACCTCCAGCATGTCCTTTCTCCTTCCATGTTTGAGTTACTTGGCTGTCCATTCTGGCACTAGCTCATTCTCAGGAGTTTTCCCTGTCCCCAGTCTTTCCCACAAGTCCCACCTTGACCTTGCTGCCCTGGGACTCGCAGCCTCCCGCCAAGATGTCATCAAAATTAGTGGGTGAGAACCCAACAGTAGAGATGACATCCCATCTAGCGAGCAAGAGCGATGAGTGCAATGCTCTCAGAATGACCCGCATCAAGTTCAGACTGCAAGGATTCGTCAGCCCTTCTTGCCTCGTGAGCCTCCACTTAGGAGTGTGAAGGCAGACTATCTTTTGAGTCTCAGGCCCTATGGGTGGGTGAATGGACCACAAGTTTTGACAAAGTCAAAACTCCCCCAGCACACACAGTCCCATCCATCGAGACTGGAGAAAATAAAAGCATAGAGTGGTATGGTGGTCTCACACACAGGAAGCTGCTTTCTGGAGCCCCTCTGGAGGACCATGGTTTGGGCAGCTCATCTAAAAACGCTGTGAATTCATGTTTTTTCCCTCATCTGCACTTTGAGCAGAAGAGAGTGTTTCTTGGATGGCGGGGAAAGAAGGGAAGAGAAACGTTGGGTTACGCCCTGTGGCTTTGGGTTATTTTCACTGGGGAATGGCGATGTCACCGGCTCCGCAGGGCCACATTGATGTGAACTCCTAAGAGCATCTGGCCATTCAAGCAGTTGTCACCAGCTCTGTGCTAAGCTTCCAAGATTTATTTCCTTTCTGTCTTTACGGTCCACCCATGGTTTCTTTTCATCTCATACCACCCCAGAGCAGACCGACTGGTCCTTATGTTTCATCAGCCTATGGGTCGATGCCGCTCTTCTCAATATGCTTTAGAAAAGAGCTTCTCTGGCCAGCATGCCTCATCCAACCTCTCCTGGAAGATACTCCCTCCCAGGAAACCTTAACACGCCCAGCAGTGAAGACATCCACGGGCAGCTTATAGTTACACCCTCGGGAAAGGTATCAGGAGATACTTTGCCAATCTTGCCCACCCACGGCATCTTCTTGCATGCCACAAGACAATGTCTGTGGATCCTCAGTGCCTCTTCAACTGCCAGTGCAGGGGACCAGATGGCAGGCGCACATATTGGAGATCAGAGATTCCAGGTTATGGGAAGCAAACCCGACTCTCCCCACATGCTGGCTGATGAGAGACCTCGCCTAAAACAGAGCTCATGAGCTGTACCCCAGGAGCCCCCTTACTGGATTCCTGTCAGGGAGAATCCCTGGGAGTCTGTGTCCATACCTGTTGGGATGGGGGTGCTCCCGGCTTGGCTGGCTGTTGGTTGAGCGGAGTGCCGAAGGCAGCTACCTGTTGGTAGGGAGGTGGCTGGGTGCTGCATATGGTCCTGCAGTGTGGTGAGAGGCAGAACAGGCCTGGTGGCTGTGGCTGGGCTGCTCAGACTGCCACCTCCAGGGTGCATAATGGTGGCCATCCCCTTGGCCAGTGGAGACCCTCCGAGCACATTATTCCAGGGTGACCCAGCCCCTCCTCCAGGAACCCTGGGGAAGTAAGCAGAACCAAGCAAGTGAGTGGGTTCGGGTAAAATCAGGCCATGTGCCACGGCAAAACCCATCTCTGACCTATAGAGGCTCTGAGAGGTCAAGGTCAGTGGTCCATGGAAGTCCTAAGACAATATCAAACCAACGCTTTTGTTAAATAATGTCCAGAGGTCAAGCTGAGCAGCAGAGTAGCCTTGGCTGTGCTATGTGCTGCTAAACACTACTAAAAAGACGATGGACTCTCATGTCTCACCAGACTGATACTTTTGGAGCATGGTGGGACATGATGGTGGCTTCTCCTAGACATATCTTCATCTGATTTCTGCCAGCCACAGAATATGGGCATAGGAGCAACAGCATTATCCCCTGAAAACATCAGGGAACTTGCGGTTTTATACCTGAGACACTCTCACCCCAAAGCTCCCAGATGCAACCACTCTCTGTAAGATGAGCAAAGCAGCTCTGGAAATGGCTTTTAACTCTATCCATGCATTTGCCCTGGCACTGAGGATGGCGTTTGGGGCTCATGGGTTTCTGTGGGTTGTGGTTAATGGGGATTAAAATGTGCCAGGAGGCAAAGTCCAATTCCCATTCCTTTAGAATCTCTCTTGGGACAGTTGAAGGCATGATGGGAGAAGAGTGGTTCTGCCCCACGCCGACATTTCCTGGGCCAGGTGCACTCTTATCTCCCTGTGGCCTGGGTGGGGACTTCTGTTGTTCAAATATTGTCAGGGACCAAACATGGACCATCGAAAAGTACTAGCTAGGCCAGAGAACAAGCCCCTGCCCTAAACCAGATGCCCCCAAAGATAAAGAACAGGTCAGGCAGGTCAGGTAGCATAGCAACAGAACAATGGGCCCTGACCAGTGACCTTACCACCTAGCAGCCTCACGACTTGCATGTAGTCCTTCACCTGCACGTCTCCCTTCACCTGCACGTACGGCACGTCATGCACCCTTCCCTCCTTCCTGCTCCTTCCCCCTCCATATATAAGCCTTGCTGAGGAGAATAAAATTTGCAGCTTGATCAGAACACTGTCTTACTGTCTTCTCTCGTGTCTCCCTGTCCCTCTCATTCTCTCCCGCAGGTGGGTCGCCCCTGTTGACACCCCGCTGGCCAGGGCAAAATCTTAGATGGTCTTTTAATAAAAAAACAGAGAGCCAGATATTGGGGTGAAAGCTGAAAGATCAGAGAAGCAGAGCAAGCTTTATTAGGGTACATAGTATATCACCACATACTTCCAAAGCAAAGAGCCCTGGAGAACTCAGAGTGTCTGTGTAGCAGCCATGGGGAAGAAGAAGGGCCTTCCAGAAAGGGGACCACTGCTCTGGGGTTACCAGCGCTTTGGTCCTTCCCCAGCTTCAGAGCTATTCTGAAATTTGCCTCTAGTGAGTTGTGGTGATATTTTATTTGTGCTCTAACAAATAAAACTTATCTAGGGATCAGAGGACAGAGCCAGCCACTGGATTAGACATAGAGGCCAGACAGTGGTGGCACACACCCTTAATCCTATCATTCAGGAGGCAGAGATCCCCATCTGGATCTCTGTGAGTTCAAAGCCAGAGCCTTGAACAGAGTCAGGCATGGTGGCACACACCTTTAATCCCAGCACTTGAGATCTCATGTCTTTGCTTGGGAAGGACACATGCCTTTAATCCCAGGAAGTGATGGCAGGAAGCAGAAAGGTATATAAGGCGTGAGGACCAGGAACTAGAGGCTTTTAAGCAGTTCAACTGAGACCCTCAGGGGTGAGGACTCAAGAGTATTTCAGTCTGAGGATTTGTGGAAGCAGGATTGGCTGAGGAGTTGTCAAGGTGAGGTTGGCTGTGGCTTCTCTGATCTTTCAGAATTCACCCCAATATCTGGGCTCTGGATTTTTTTTTATTAATAAGACCTTTTAAAATTCATGTTACAATGAATGAGTTGCCCTGCCAATGGACCAGTCTACATCATGCATTTTAACCACTGATGTAACGCCATGCTAGATCTTTACAAACCAAAGAGATGAGCTTCAAAGTATGGGCCTTGTGCTTGCAAGGCTATGTTAACAAGGCTGAAGGCAATGGACTGCACATGTGCCTCCTGCAGCAGCTGAGACCCCCTCCCTCTCAGCAGCAGGGTCTGGCCAGGCCTGCTCCAGCCAGCCTGGATTTCCTTTCCACATGCTCATACTTGTAACAGTGTAGTACTCAAGGCCAGACTTTCCCTTTTTTTTTTGTAAAACAAGCAAGCAAGCAAATAAACAAACAGACTGCAAACAAACAATGAGAAAGAGCCATCTGCAATGTCCTTTGTAGGTGACAGCCGTAAACGGCTTTAGTGTGTACCTCTCGGGCTCAGACTACTTTGACAGCTTTGGTTCTGCACATATGTCCCTCCGACACTTGTCCTGAGGTTTCTGCTGGGTGGTTTTGGCAGTTTTCTGATTTGCAGTGAGGATAAGAGATGGTCAGTCTTGGGGCAGAGCAGGGGAAGGGCAGCCCTCTGCTTCTATAAATAAGATCGAAGCCAGCCTTTCTACATTGGGGTGCATGGTGGGCCTGGTTGAGAAGCCCAGGTCTCTGAGATACTGATTGTGGGGGCTCCTTGCAATTCCTCCTCTTGGGGAGTTACAGAAGACACTAGTGACCTCTCAGTTCTTCAGTCATCAGAGTTAGACCTGCCAGGGATGTCTGCTTTTTGGTCTCCTAGGCTGTGGGCTGCTTCTTTAAAAAACAGAAACAATACACCCAGTTGAAGACAGATGGGCTCAAGGGAGGTGGGCAACTCATGAGGTACACAGACTGAAGTGGCCCAGGCCATCCAGAGAATTCCCGATTCATTCCAGTTAAGTCTTCCCATAGCCAAGTTACGGCAGGATTTAACCAGAACTACCAGATTTCATCGATTTATTCAACTTGCACTATTGAGCAGTTGGTATATAGTATATAAATGGCATTCAGTGAGCCCAGTGTACAAAACCAGAGATGGCCAGCAGGCTCTGCACACTTATTCATGACCTATAATGAGCAGCACTCACAGGCTTCAGACAGGGCCATGGGAGAAGGTTTTCCTTAGCAAGTGGACTTAAGACCCAGTTCCCAAAAGAGATGGCAAGTTTCACTAGGAAGTAGAAGAGATAGGACACACTTGGAGTGAGTGAGGGGAGCCATTCCAGCTGATGAAGTTCCTCCATCTCTGTCTGAGGGCCCCAGGCAGGGGGCTTTGCCTGTATTCAGTAGGAACACATCAAAACCACCAGTCAAGTTGCTCTGCATGAGGAGAGTCCCCAAGAGGCTTGCTGGGAGCTAATGTCTTAAGTAGCATGATTTAAGGCACAGGAGTTTCCTGAAGGCCCCGAAGCTTCTCCTCAGGCTCCTTCCTGTTGATGGTTCCCCGAGTGAAGGATCACTCACCACATACCTTCCTTGTCTACATAACCCTCTTTCTCCAAGATAGGACAACCCTTCTCCTCAGGCCTCTGAACATCCTCCATGAAGCCCTGGCTGTAGACTGCCCATGCAACCTAAGCCACAACACAAATATATGTGTCCTCCTGGGCACTTTCTGAAGCCACTTGGACAGGCAGGCATCAGAATGGCAATGTTTTCAGCGTCTTCTTCCAAAGATACTTAAAACGGTTTATTTTCGTGTCTGCTAGTGTTGACACAGGCTGTTTGAAGGGGCTACTGTGAGTGACACTCAAACAGTCAGGCAGTGGACCTCACAACACAACAGAAAATCCTGACAACTCTGGGCTTTCTCGTCAGTGAATTTTTTAAATTGCTTTTCTTAGTTTATAAAAGCTATGTAATTGTGACTTGTAAAGATACTAGAAAGCACAAGGAGGGGACTTTAAAAAATTACTCATAATGCTATCAGTCATCAACAACTGTACTTTAAGACATGTATCCCTTTCCTTTATATGGTTGTATGTGTTTTACATATATATACATATATATATGCATGTTGTGCTCATACTACAAATATATATGTGATGTATACATATTATACATGTGTACACATGTTATATTCACATGGTACAAATACATAATACATGTTATGCGTATACTGCATATACACTCATGTGCATTATACCTATATCATGCACACACATGCACAGACACACTACATATACTCATATGCACATACCATATACATATCAAACTCTACATACATGTACACATTGTGCACATGTGGGTGCACACACCAATGTGGGGCACACATTTTCATGCTTATACATATAGTATAACTCTACTGTAAGCATGCACATGACCCGTACTCATTGCATACACACACACACGAGTACCTATATGAACATGCATACTTGATAACATCCTGCACACACTGAATACACACGCACACACACACTGGCCTTGTTTACAAGCACGTACACTGAAGATCTTGCTCTGACAACCTTCCCATCCCACTCCCCAACTCAGCTGCTGTTGCTTTGCTCCAGCTCCTGCTACCATACTTATCCCCTGGGTAGCCAGTGTTCACTGAGAAAGCCTAGTAAACCAAGCTTGGCAGAGGAGCCCCTCCCCAAAGGAACTCAAATGTCCCCACTGTCTCTGGACCGAGTGTGACGGGGACCCGTCTACAGTGTGGTCTCCGGGGTTTCTACAGCACTAGGGCAATGTAGGCCTCATTCCCTTCTCGATCAGGTGGCCAGGCCCTCACCTGGAGACAGGTGTCACGTAGTTGCCGGGGAACACCCCCGAGACCCCGGTTTTTAGTGAAGCTCCCTTGAACCAGCCATCCTGACACTTCTCCAGCACACGGTACATCTCACCCTTGCGCAACTCCAGCTCATCATTCTTCTGGGGCTTGTAAGCATAGAGAGCCAGGTACCTGTGGACGAGGACAAGGACAAGGGTCAGTGCGTGTCTCTGAGGGACACGATGGATGACAGAGGTGGCACAGGACAGACAGCCCGTCTTTAGATGAATTCCACCTAATGAGTAGCTGATACCTGCAGGGTGCTCTAGTTCACAGAGAGTTCACATACCCGTTACCTGACTCAATTCTGCCACAAACCCATGAGGTGGAGGAAGAAAACAGGTATGTTCCTAGCGCTTGTGGAAGACACCATGACTCTGGCCCACTAAATGGTCAGGCGATATGTAGGTGGAGTGAGGGGCTTTTTATTTTGTGTCACAGAAGGGAAGAAGCTCAGTGAGGCAGAGTGATGCCCAGTTTCCAGGATACCTCACACCTGTATCCTGGGCCTGGTCTCTGGACCTCACAATGTTTTTCTCCCTTTTCTCTAAGCTTTCTATAGTCTGGTATCTGAGCAAGAGGAATCGCAGGAATAATCAAGTGAACTAGCTGGGCCTGGGCTTGTTCCAGTCTAGCTGGGCCTGGTTTTCCCGCCAGGTTTCTCTAGTCAGCCTGAGCTGGTCAAGAACTCTCCAAGCGCTCTTCCAGAAAGGGCAGCATCTGTCCACTTTCTAGCAACATTCGCATTGTTACTAATTATCCCGTGTCTTCTTTGCTTATAAGCCTCATTTGCAGATAAGGCTGAAGAAACTTCAGCCCTTTTTGTGACACACTAAGGATGCGTGCATCTTTTCCTTGCAGCACTAGTGAGCATGGAATAACCTGGCAGAAGGGTCCCCCTCCTCCTGGAGTCTAGGGAACAGCTGGACTTGGCTGTTAGAGGAACCTGCATCAGATAATTGCTTGCAGGATCCAGCCATGAAAGTGGATGGGCGCCCCAGTTCCATAGCAGAGGACAGATGAGCCATCTCAAGAACTGTGCACCAAGATGTGGGCTCAGGGGCATGACTGATCCTGTCCTGTGCTGTGGGTTCCTAGAAGCGCCTATAGTACCGTATCTGGGCCTGCTAGACCCCCAGCATCCCTCCAGCTCCCCTGACTCTGCAAAGGGCCTTCATAGGAAGTGGAAGGAGAAAGAGAACCACTCACTAGAATTCACGTAAGGACGGAGGAGGCCCCAAGGAGGAGTCTTGAACAAGGTGAGAGTCCCGTGGAGATGAAGGTCTCCCCACCTTCTAATCTGTCTTCCCTCTGCAACCCTCTGACCTGTGGGCCCTCTGGTTCTCGTCAGTGGGGACTCAGTGTCCCCGGTTTATATGCTTCTACCCCTAGGATGAAAGCCAGGAACACCAATGTTTGGGAACACCCTGGGCTTCTGAGGGTAAGCAGCCCAGGCTCCTCCCCAGGGACATGTAGATCTAATGTCCACCCCATGCCTGTGACAGATGCAAAAAATCAGGATGTGATCCTTGTCCTTAATGACCAGAGGGGAAATATTACTAACAAGTAAGACACAGGAAGACTGCATTTAGACACTGCGCTGGCTAGTTTTATGTCAACTTCATACAAGCTAGAGTTATCTGAAAGGAGGGAACCTCAATTGAAAAAAAAATGACTTCATATGATCTGGCTGTAGGGCATTTTCTTAATTAGTGATTGATGTGTGTGTGTGGGGGGGGAGGCATCCCATCGTGGGCGGTACCACCCGTGGGCAGGTGGTCTTGGTTCTATAAGAGAGCAGGCTAAGCAAACCATGATGAGCAAGCCAGTAAGCAGCACTCCTCCGTGGGCTTTGCATCGGCTCCTGCCTCCAGGCTCCCGCTCTCACTGCTTTTGATGATGAACTGTGAGTGACATCAACCCTTTCCTCTCCGAGTCACTTTCAGTCCTGGTCTTTTATCACAGGAGTAGTAACCCTAACTAAGACACTCTTCGTGTCCGAGATGTGCTGTATATGCGTGGGGGGGGGAGGGTAAGTTCCTGGTAACAGGTGTTGAGGGCCGAAACAGGAACAGAGACAGCTATGGTGCAGGACTGTGTAAGAATGACACATGATGTGAACCTGCTGTCAAGGAGACACAAAGTGCAAATCCTGCTTAAGCTGTCCCCCTGCTGTCCCTTTATGATGTCAGCTCAGTTTGTGACTTTGGCCACAGCAGAATGCTAAGAAGGGTGATTGATGGCTCCTTGGAGCTGTGTGGGTCTCTAGACAGTTAAAACCCCACCAGGTTTACGTATATGTCCTTGATGGTAAAGGAAGTGGTCCAGGGGTTCATCTACTGCCTGTAGCGGGGAGGGCCCAGGCTGCTCTTCCCTGTTAAAAAAGGCTTGAGGACCCATTTCTGTTCATCTCATTGCTAGTGCTGTGCAGAGTCTGGTGGGTACAGAGGTGAATTGTGGCCCCCATAACCTGTTCTTTGCCAGAGAAGTGTCTGTGGGCTAGCCCCGGGCTACAGCCAGGCCAAATATCTGGTTGCTGTTGTCTTCAGGGTCCACCTGCATAAAGCATGGACTCCAGGGGTCCCGTGCTGTGTGTGCACACATGGCCTCAGGTCACTGAACATGAAACAGGTCTGTGAGAAAGCATCACAGCTCCCCCAGGCACTGCTGCCAGGCCTCTCAGCAGGTTTTGCTCGAGTGTCAGGAAATGCTTTGCTCTGTCGCTCATTCCGTACTTGGAGGCTCTCCGCTGGGGCAACTGCCTATAGGAGTTTCCATTTTTTCAGGGTTTCCATTTTCTCCTCTCCCTCACCTCTCCCCGGGCCTTCTCTCCTAATTCCTATGTGGTCTGAGGGAAGTGGAGCAGCTGTGTCCTCTTGACACCGAGAACTCCCCTAGCAGGATGCAGCTGCTGCCCACATGAGGCCATGCTTACCTCAGGAGGGGGCTGAGTGCAAGTTCAGGGCCCTGCGCTCACAGGGGCCTGGGGGAACGGGAGAAGCAAACCTTGCTGGGGACGGGCAGTGCTCCTGGGGTTCAGTGGAAACATCCTCCTGCCTCAGGATGCTTTTACCACCATCTACCTGCAGCGTTCATCCCTTACCCACCACACCACATGCTCCAACAGGACATGGAGTTTTAACTGATGCTTCAAGGCTTTCTCCTCACTGCCAGACATTTGCTACATTCTCAACAAATACTTGCTAAAGCAAAGCAGGAGTCCTGGCTGGGAGTCTAGGACTGAGAGCCACTCTGCATGGTGGGTGTGGTGAGCCTGTGCATGCGTGAGAGTGCAGAGCCATGAACAAGGAAGGCCAGCTTTAGTCTACAGTGGTGCTTCCTGCATCAGGATGGAGCTACTTCTGGTCACTTCCCTGCTGAGTAAGGAGTCCAGCAGCCTCGACACGGTTCGAATCTGAGCATGGCCAGTGGTTTTCAGATAGCATTTCTTATCCTCTCTGGGAAGTCACTGCGTTACAGAGTGTGAGCAGCTGTGATAAATGGCTACCAAACCTCTGGAGGGCCTTAGAGGAACAGTTGTGGAGTAGCCGAAGGCCGTTTCCTTTTTGAGATGATCTCTTACTCAGTATTTTAGGATCCCTTATATGATTTAATGGGGCAGGGACTTTGTAATTATTTCCCAGCATCTGAAGGGAGTTTGTAACTTTTCCTACAAACACTGAAAACGAGGACTGTTTATCAGCAGCTTCAAGTCATCTTAAGACCTTTAAAAACCAGAAAAGGCCTCTTTCAACATGCCGAGTTTCCGTAAAACACAGGTGTGGTTCCTAATGAGATAATAAGGCAGGGGGTGGAAAACTAAAAGATGAACATGGCTGCACATTCGCTGTCCTGTGTGCCTACCTGGTACTGAGCCTGTAGGCACCACCATGGAAGAGAGACCCAGCTTCATGCCTACCCCTTCACATCCTTCAGTACAGAAGCTGCCAAGAGACGCATCATGTAGGTTTTCAGAAATATGGATTTGTATTTCATGCTGCATTAAGCCTCTGCACGTAGGGCGTGTTGCTGCTTAGGAGTGGGATGCCCGAGGAAATGTATGTATGGCATGCTCAGTGATACGGACAGCGTTGAAGTTCTGATGTCTAGGAGGAGAGACGCATCCTTTCCAGGTGCTGCCGACCTGAGGACCTGAATGCCTCACTCCTCACACCACGGCCACCAGCTTGACTTTGAGACCTTATTGATCAGGTGTCAGCCCTGCAGAAGTGTGGCCTCATCACGGGGCCGCTGGTGAGACAGGGCAAGGGGAGAGGACCGTGACCCAGTGTCTGCTGTACACTAGACACAAGGACTCACATAGGCTCCACGTGGGCCCTGAGGTTTCACAGCTGGGGAAGCTAAGGCTGGAAAAGCCTGAGCATCGGCCACTGTTTTTGTGATTTAGGAGCTTAGCATGGCCCCGGGGTGGGGCCAGACACTGTGAGAGCCTCAAGCCTGGGTGAGCATGGCATGGGGTAGGCTTACTACTGGAGTCAGGGATTCCACCTGCCAGCTCTGAGTGTAGGCCTACAAGACTCACTGTGTAGGGGAGTGCTATTTGGATTGCAGCAGGACACTGACATGATTGGCCTTTTAATGTTTTAAAAGATTTACTTTTAAATTACTTTTGTGTGTGCTCACGTGTGTGTGTGTGTGTGTGTGTGTGTGTGTGTGTGTGTGTGTGTGTGTGTGTGTGTATGTGTATGTACATGTACTGTGTTGGCAGAGACTAGAGGTGTCAGAGTCTTTGGCGATGGAGTTACAGGCAGTTATGAGCCACCCATTGTGGGTGCTGGGAGCCACACTTAGTTCCTCTGCAAGGGCAATTCCTGCTTAGTCTCTGAGCTGGCTCTGCAGCCCTTGACCTTTCCATCTTTCTTTTAAATTTGCTTTGCTTGATGAGGCCCTACCAAGGATCCTAGTCTTCCACGTTTGGTGATCCTTGCTGGGTGAACACAACTTTACCATAAAAAATTCCTTGTACAGAATAATCTTCTTCCTTCCCTTCCCTCTCTGGGTTCCTCAGAGGGGTGACACAAGTGGATGGATATGCTGGGTGGCTTCCCTGTGTGTGGCGCCTGTGTATCTGGCACACACCTGTGCAGAGTGGGACGCTGGCTGGCTGGGCA